CTGCTTGAAAAAGGATTTGTTTTAAGATACATATTTCTTTTTTGAACTAGTGTGAATATACACAGCAGTGTCTTTGGCAGAAATAAAAATATTTGTAGAATAGGTTAACAAGTCATAGTTCTATCAACAGTCTGAATTGTCCATTAGTTTCTCTGATTTTCCTCTATTCTTCCTATTTTCATTCACTGCCCATTTCTGATCAACAAGCTGGTCTGAAAACAAGTTCTCAATTAATGGCTCTCTGTAATTAAATGCTTGGGAGCAGTATTTGTTAGTTCTATATTACAAATCCTTGCATTTGATACAACAACAACTTGCATTTATACAGCGCACTCCACACCGGGCAGTGTCCCAGAGCCCTTAAATATAGCACCTTATGTCACTGAAACATCTTTAAAAGTTCCATAGGATTTACTGTGAAGTCCCACTGACAATTTTTAGCAAACACGGCAGGTAATTTGCACACAGCAATTCCGACAAACAGCCATTAAGTGAATAACTAATTTTAGCTGGAGAATGGTTGCCCAGAATACCAAAAGAAAGTTCCTTCTCTTTTCAAATAGTGCCATGGGATCTTTAGCATCCATCTGAATAGGCAGACAGACGTTAGTTTAACATCTCATCTGAAGAACTGCACTTTTGACAACGCAGCCCTCCCTAGCATTGCACTGAAGTGCTAACTTCAGGCTACAAACCTGAACCTTGAGCTACGAACTTCAAGTCCCAATATGGCGTTGAACGCACAATCTTCTGAATTGTGCAAAATTGGTACCAACTAAGCCCAACTGAACTAGGCTGATTATTGCTTTTCGCTTACTGTGCAAAATGGTGTCTATGTTGCTTCCTTTATACAGCCAAGCTAAGGCAGACAACTCACTGCAAGATCTCCAGCAGGGTAACTCTCTCACATTGAGCTTTGTCTCATAGCTGAAGGAATCTTTATTTCATCAGCAGTCATTGGCATTAGTGGGAGGGCTTCTATGAGCAAACATCAATATGCCTAGTGAAATGAAGTGGTGGATAAATAAGACCTGGGTTACTCAAAATTGGGTCTTGCAGCATTATTCTTGGCACAGTAATATTGCTATCCATATTATTTTATTATAAAATTTCAAACTCATGTTTAAATCAATGCAATTCAGAATGATTCCACATTTAAATTTAAAAGACTGGTCAGAAGCCATTTTCTCAAATCTCACCAAATAGATACCATCAAAAATTGTAGGAGTGTTTGAATTAAAAAATCATTTTAACACATTTCTTTGCTTCATTTTCTACAAGATTATTTTATTTAGAATCAGAGATTTTATCAATTTAACATTTTCTTACTATTTTAGGATTCTAATTGATGAAATAGCACACTACAAGTTATCATTCTGATGTTTGGATCTAATGGCATTTTCTGTAGTTTGTCTGAACATTGTGGTTTTTTTCACTTTCTGAATCATTCTTGCTTTTTATTTTGTTTTGATTCTGTCTTGCTCTCTTTAACTGCCGAGATCTAATGTGTATTACAGTATTTCTCCACATTCCACCATGCTGCTGTCTTTTTAATAATCCTATATTTGACTGTATGTTTATTTTCTAGTTTCTCCTCTACATTATCATAGCATTCAGTTTGTCTCCAGTCTTTCACACCGAGCTTTGTCACATAGCTGAAGAAACCTTGATTTTACTTGCAGTGATCTGAGGAGAGACTAAACGAGACTGCTTATGGAGGGCTGCTTTTGCATTTTTATTGACAATCACTTAACATTTAAAATTTGTTAAAATTTCCTTTTTTCTGTTCTCACAGGCAATACATTTACTGTGAATAGCTTATGTTCCCATGCAGCACTCTGTACTATTCCTGAACCAACTCGGATAAGCTATTTAGAGCTGTCCGTCGCTTTACTTCTGAGCATTATTTCTTTACAGTAGTTTTGTACTTAACTAGTGTCTGTGTTCCAGCATTGGTGAACATACTGCAGCGCAACAGTCTTGCTTTCTTTAAATACTTGTTGAAAAAGTGGCTAAGTCACATTTTGCATCAACAACAACAACAAAATTACATTGTATAGCGCCTTTCACGTCGGGAGGACGTCCCAAAGTGCTGGACAGTCAGTGTTTTGGACCCGAGCTGGGGGTCAGGATCGGGGAGGGTGGAGAGCAGGGGATGGAAGGAGGGTGATCGAAGACACCTTCGAAAAGGAGGGTCTTGAGATGGGCCTTGAAGGAGGCAAGGGAGGCGGCGAGGCAGAGGGACTGTGGATGGAGTTCCAGAGGGTGGGGACAGAGTGGCTGAAGGCCCTCCTGCCAATGATGGGGCAAGCGAGGGACGTGAAACAGGCCGGAGCCCACTGTGTGGAGGGAGCGGGCAGGTTGTTAGGGGATTAGGAGGTCGCAGAGGTAGGGGGGAGCAAGGCCATGGAGAGCTTTGAAGACGTGGACCAAGATCTTGATCTGTATCCTCTGTGTAATGGGAAGCCAGTGGAGTTGGGCGAGGATGGGGATGATGGAGTTGCAGAGCCTGGTGCAGGAGAGGATATGGGCTGCAGAGTTCTGGATGATCTGCAGCCTATGGAAGGAAGAGTTCAGGAGGTCAACAAACAGGGAGTTTGCATAGTAAAGCCCAAATGTTATTCTGAATGTGTGTACAAGAGGTTCAGCCGCCTGAGGGGTCTGGCAATGTTGCGGAGATGGTGGTAGGCAGTGCCGGTCATGGCACGGATGTGGGGAAGAAAGGGGAGGTGACCCAAGGCGCAGTTGAAGAGAAACGTTTTGAGGTGCACTACGAAGTCAGGCAAACAAGGAGAATTGAGGGAGGTAGTTTCAGAGGTTCAGGGCGATGAAAGTTCAAGAAAGTAATTTATACACAAAAAGAGTAGATAGGGTAAAAATGTTGAGAAAAGAGTAAAGAGACAATCAGGAAACTGGACATCCTAGCATACATTAGTGTTTGAGAAATGTTGCCACCAACTGATTTAACGTTCCTTTTAACAGTTAACAAAGGCAGTTTTATTCCAGAGCTTCCATACATACAGAATTTCTTTTGCAATGAGTTCTTTTTGTATGACAATGTAAGGTTTTAATCTTGCCCACTCTATATTATAATCATTATCTTTTAAGTGGGGATGCAGGAGACTTGTTTGAAAGCCTAGAAGTACATTATTTAATAAGATACGACAGCTAGAGAAAAAAAGTCATCACTAAACTTGCACATTTGCCTTTTTGACAATTTTATTTGGCTGTGCAAGATTAAGCAACTAACTGGATGAAAATTCTAATTTCTCACATCTAACCTCAATTATATTGAATACCTTTACATTCCTCAAGTGTCGATTTAAATATCTTAATTGATTCCAACGTGGAAACAGAAACCAAATAAAGAGAACTATAGAATTGAATATCAAATAAGTATATGCATTTCATATTGCAATTAAGTCCATACAAGAATACTCAATTATTTAATTGGGATGTTATTCACAAATATGGCAAAGTGCTGCAATAACATGAAATAGTTTAAAATTTAAATTGTTGAAAACAAAGTACCTGGAGATCTCCTGCAATAGACAGAGTATTAAAGGGAGAATGCTGATGAAAGCAGCAACTTCTGTATTGCACACACACTCCGCCAGCACTGGATATAAATAATTATCAGTGATCCATCGAGTTATACTAGTTCCATGGACTGACTGATAAAACAACTAGTGTTTGATGATAAAACTTTCATCAATAATTCACTTATTGTACAAGGGAATTTTGAGAAATCTTTCTTTTAAAAAAAACTTTAGAGAAAGGTGGGTGTTTTTGTAATTGTCCTCACCAAAAATAAACTATATTCAGAGCACGAAGTGCAATTGCAAGAATGGGATTTTTACTGGCACTCATGAGCGAGATCCGAATTCAGAAATGTATTGATAAGATGGTGTAGCTGTGTATGAGAGATTATTATCATCACAAAATAAGTCAGCAGAATGGAAACAAATTGTACAAATTGGACAATAGATGTCCTTGATTTGCCTAACTAATTACAATATAATGTATATCACCTAGGTTGACTATAACTCCAGGGGCATTCTGTATTCAAGAGCTGAATCAAATCTTGCAAAGTCTACAAATTATGGGATTTCCCTTTTGAAGTGTAAATCCTAAACTTTGGTACACTTAGTAAACAGAGCAAAGTAACCTCCCCAGAAGGCACAGCCACTGAATGTCTCCGAATAAGCAATTTAAAACAAACAAACAACTTATGCTTTAAAAATATCACAACCAGAATTTAAAACCCCTCTGGCTCCTAAAAATAAATTTGCTTTACTGCCAGATCCATCTTCTTGATTTAATACACAAAATCAAATCTTACTGGCTTACATTTCTCAGCATTAGCAGATTTATTATTTTGTACAAATTCAGAAAGGTGCACATCAGTTAGAATTAGTAGAAATGAACTGTGCTAATCTTAGCAGCAGTCCAATATAATTTATCTGAGAAAATGGAATCGTACAACTTTAAGAATATATACCAGTGTTCAGTTCAATAAGGAAAATGTAAGATAGTTGAAACACTGCCAAAATAATTTCCACAGAATAAAGAAGAATAAAGTGGACGTTTAATTAAATCTTATAATGAACAAATATGTAAAGATATTACAAACACTGACAAGTATAGATGGCAGTCTCTTGTGATGGGAATCTAATGGATTTTGCATAATTTTAGTTTATAATGATCAATGCACTTGTTTCTGTGTTATTTCACTTCAGGAAGGAAACAATGTACATCCAATTCTTTATGCGGCTACACATTAGTTTCTTCATGCATGTGGATAACAGAGTAATCTGGGTATGTAGTGTACCACCATGGCTACATAAACACATGATAGAATGTGATCAATAGCTGCAATACAAGTTTTGCTACTTAGATAGTTTTGGAAATAGTCAAATTGCATCTCAAAACAGCTGCTCAAAGATATGTTAAAACTGGAAATTCTACAATTTCAACCAAGAATATAGTTATCAAATTACCTGATCTTCAGAGCAGTTTTCTCCATGATGTGTCTTATCTTTTGAGATAACTGGGACACAGAGGTCAGCATCAGGCTGTCTAAAACTGCCTAGAGATTCAAAAATACATCAAATGAGTAAGTAGGCTTGTAAAGAAAACTAGAAAACCTAGAAGCCTCAAGCTAGAAAACACATCACAGTAAATATTTCATAATAACAGCTGGCAGGTGGTGGTTTGTTACAACAGGTCAAACATTTAACACAAATAAACTTGTCATCAATCCTATTGGTCTTTTTATGAAAATATGCAATGGAGAAAGTGAAATTCAGTACTACTTAAAAAAACATATTGAGGTGGGTGATCTCAGGGTTTCCAACTGCACAAGTCAGACCACCATACTCCATGTATTAATAAATAAAAATTAAAAGTTCCACCAGCAAGTACAAGTTCCATCAGTACAAGTCCAGCTGTCTAATAAAGAGCATTTGTGGTGTTAAGTAATTTAAAAGGTAAGAAAGGAGGGGAACAAGTAACTAAAGAGTGACAGTATACCAAATATGCAGGTCCCATTGACAACAGATACATTCTGCATTCAACAAACAGCTTTACACAAGCGGCACAAATTATTTTATATGAGTTGGAAAACCCTTTAATAAAAATCGTCTTTTACCAAGATTTTTACCATCATGAAAATCCCTTGGGAAATAAAACCCAACTTCAACAAGCGGACATCTCATTTTCAACCAATGAGTTACAGTAGAAACTATGTAACCAGTTATTAAATCCTACTTTTTAAAACACAGACTGAGGTCATATAGAAAACTACTCAAACCACAATTACCAATCTAAATAAATCCTATATAAATGAGACAATTCAATTAAAATGTATTCAGCAGTCTGCACTCCAACATAGGTGGAATTTTTTTATGTAGAAGTTACAGCTAGGATTTCATACTGCAGAAATACAAAATAGTTTTGCTGAAATGAATAAATACTACTTCAGGAACTGTTGAAGTGATTTCAATTCATCTATGTTTGGTTACATCATAATATACAGCTTGCTTGATGGAACACAAAATAATTATTTCTCCACTGCTCATACTTGTAAGGAAATATAAAATTTTAATTACAAATACACAAACTAACTAGAGTTCAGGTAATGCATTAGAAGTTTATTCTTTGGTTGCTGCAGGCAGGATTAATTGCCTGTGGAGAACTAATTCTGGATATCCTAAAAGCATTTGAATTGGGGGAAGATAATTTTTGAGAAAGAACATTTTGCTCCAAGTACTTCCCTAGAAACAAAAGAAAATAGCATCCTTACAAAAGAATTGTTTTAACCTGAAGTGAAGAATAATTGTTTAACAAAATCAATGGGATCAGCTTCCTCCTGCACTAAGACAGGAAGTGCATGTTGGCAGAGCTGGTGCACTGCCATTGAATTTTGTTGATCTGCAAAAATATTTGAAAAAATGAAAACCAAGGTGAAACTGATGTTTTGAATGTTTTCCAAGCACATAAAACGTGCATGAAAAATTATGACATCGACAATCAGTTTGCATGACTACTCAACACTTAGCTACTTTACATCATGACTTCTACTGCCTCCTTGTCCAACTTGATGCCACAGTTCAAATAAACTACATTTCATTAATGTTTGAGGGAGTTTCTGGTGATAATTAGTTGTTGTGTTTGCCTACATTTCATTCAGTTCTAATCTTATTGTGTCAGGTATTTTGAGGTTTGTTTCATATATGTTTAAGTTGTTTACCTCTGTATAACCATACAACAGTCATCTTAATTCAGTTTTAAAACAAAGTATAGATTCTGTAATTCGCTTAATTTTTTTTGTTGTCGCTTGTTCTTTCCAATTCCTACTATTTTTTCTAAGAGACTGCAAGGATCACTTTTCATGAAGATTTATTGAATAGAACAAGGAAACAGAAACAGCTATTAATTCTTACTTCATCCCTACTCCATGTCTTCCGCTTTGAAGCAGCCTGTTGATCAGCAGACTCTGAAATTCGAGATCTTGGGTCACCTGGTCTGCCATTTCCAGTTGCTGGAGGTATTTTTCTAAAATTCAGACTTTCATCAAAAACTCGATCAACTAACTAAAAATAAACGGAAAATAAAAAAAGTAGGCAATGAAGGTTACTGAACTTAGTTTTACTTCATGCAAATATGACTTATGCAAGATACTCAAATCTACATTACATGAGAACATAAGACATCACTGGTGTTTCCAGACCTACCTCACTGAAGTAGATCCTTCCACACCACATCTTTTGGTTAAAAACACTGGGTCAAATGTGCAAGATTTGCAAAAGCATTTGCAATTAGCAAATTTCCAGGTACCTACTTACACATGTTCGAGACCATTCCTCTGCTTGGAAACACTGCTTGGACTGTTAACTTTTGTGAAGCCAGATTGCAGGCAAAGGAAACTGAGGGTTGGCTTCAGATACACCAAGGTACCTACAGGACTTGATAGTTACAAATGCTTTTGTAAATCTCTCAGATTAGATTTTGCTCTACAAGTATGGCTGAGTTTACATCAGACAAATGTCAGAATTTGTTTTCCCATAAGAGCTCTGCATTTAGCCAGTATCTTGACATCCAAAATTTGACAGTAGCGCTGCACAACTGCTTTAAAATATCAGACTCTTAAATCAAATTTGCATTAATGGATTTTTCCATTAAGATGTCAACTGCATTAATATTTAATTTTGCTAATCCCAAATTTTTCCAATCATAGTGGTAGAACCTGCACTGAAAATTTATCTAATAAACAGCTGATCTTAGAATAATAATCCTTGCATTTGATATAGATTTTATGATGTCAGAACATCTCAGAGCTATTCACAGGATTGTTACTGTAAAGTGTAATGACTTATTATTTGTAAGCAAATGGAGTGGAGTCCTGTAGCTTAGTGGTTAGAGTACTCGCCTCGCAAGCGAGAGGACATGGGTTCGATTCCCGGGCAGGGCGAAACGTTGGGCGAGTTTCCTTACTCCACACGCCTCTGCTTACCCAGCAGTAAGTAGAAACCTGGTTGCTAGTCGATTGGCGGATCGCCTTCAAAAAAATAAATAAATAATGATAATAATTTGGTCACTCAATCCACGACTGTTTGTGGGACACTGTGTGCAATTGGCTGCTGTATCTCACCCACAAAATATAGTCAATTCACTTTACAGTATATTCTGTGAAGTGCTTTGAGACGTCGAACGACATGATAAGGCGCTATTTTGTTGATGGTGTTTGAACCACAACCTTCCAACTCAGAGGTGAGAATGCCACCAACTGACAATTATCCAACACCCAATTCAAATAAGGTTTTGCAACATTTTAAGAATAAATTCATTAAACCTTTATATGCAATAAATAGATCATGAACACATTATAAAAAAAACTATCTCTGTCCAGTCATGAAAACGGGTAATCTCATTCTAGGTTAAGAAGAAATGTTTTTGAACAGTTAACTATTGGCGAATTTCTCAGAGCACCTTCTCAGCACGTTTCACTACAATTAGTCAGTCAAATGCAAAGCATGGTAAGTAAACTAAGAGAACTGATTTCAGTTACATGACCCTTAATTGGTAATTGCAGTGCTGCATGATAAGTTTCCAAGACAAGTGATTTGAATAAATGATCACTTTAGTTGAACATTAGCCAATTACTGAAAATATATAAACCTGAGGTCTATATAACCATATCCTTGATGGCCACATTCATAAATTCCTGTCATTGATTTTTTTTTTAATCCTTAAACAACTAATCATAGTAATCTGTCTTACTTGTGTCATATTTCGCAGAATTAGTAAATGGTTCGGGGATTATGCAGTATTAGATCCAACCCTGTGAAAGGGCTTTGCTACAAAAGCTTTCTAATATTCTATCTAAAAGGAATATGATGCTGATGTGAAACACGCTGGTATATAATGAAGAGATTTCTGTATAGATCAGGTTATGTTTTAGAATTCAGAAACAAATTGCAGTTAACTGCGACCCTTATGCACAATAGAAAAATTAATACACCATAACTTCGGTTTAAATGCTTTATAAGACTATTTAACTCGGATTCTGTTGGCCATTTCATATCATTTGACAAAATAGAGATATTTTCTAAATAAAAACTTCCATTTAGCACTGCAAACAGCAAGAAATGTCAAAGAGGCTGGTTCCCTTACAGGGAATGTATACAGTGGACATACAATTTAAAAGGTAATAGATAATTTAAAACATTTAAGGAATCTTTTAATTTAGATAAGTGGTGTATTCGTTTGAAAGTTTTCTTGAAAAATACCAAATTAGGATGCATTACTAGAACCTTTTTCTAACCCAATGGACGTTTTGATATCCAAAGGTTTATCAATTTGATGACACCTTGTGAGAACCAACATCCTTAGAAATGAAACAGTTATGGACAAATAAATGGCAAAGCTAATTTGGGTCATGGGAGGTGGAGGAAGAAAGAGATGAAAGACACGAAACAAATGCATCCTATATTCTAACCAGAGTACAAAATACTGTAAACACTTTCAATTTTGCTACTTTTTTTTCAAAAAATGCTTGAAACTTTTCCAGTTTAATTTTAAGAGCTATATAAAACAGCAATTATTTCATCAAATTCAGGTAATCGTTAATTCAATTATTTGAGCCAAATGGGCCAAACTAAATAAAAATTAAACGTGTTTATAGTAGCCAAGGTGATAGCTAAAATGAAAAAGAAATAAAAAAAGCAAGAACCTTAGGCATCCCTCCATGAAGGTCTCCTACCTCTTCCCTGGTGTCAATGGTGGAGCCAGGGGTGGTGGCAGCAGTGCTTACTGTTGTACTAGGGGCAGTGCCTGATGAACTCACAGAATCTATCTCACCTGCCACATCATGGATTTCACGAGCAAGGATAGCCAAATCTTTGGCCAGATCTTGACTGATCCTGAGAACATAAAATGCACACCAAATCCTGAAGAATTACCCATTACAAATTTAAAGCCATCAACATTCGCGGGCTGAATGATGTTTCATTTAGGGAGAAGTACCACACTCAACTAAATACAAGAGAATTCCTGAGTGAGTAGCATTTAGTACGTCTATATACTTTCTATCTTTCTCAGATTGAAATAGCAGATTGGGGAAGGGGAAAGATCTACATAGTATAATGAGGAATAAAATATTCTGGAGCACAGTATAGAGAAATCAATGTTCAATACTGATTCTGTGTCCTTTCAATAAGGGGTCTTGCAGGGTAAGCACAAATTCTAATTTGGGTAAATTCCAATATACAGAGAAATTCCTGAATTTACAACCCACATAAAATTTGTTACATATTTGAATCGTCTAATTTTTTTTGAAAATAAATGCCAAGGCAGAAAATAACCCTATCCATTGACGAGTGGTTTGTTTCCACACAAAACCCAATCAAAAATGGAGTGGTTACCGGTATCACAGGGAACAGGATTAACACTAGTGTTCAAGCACTCCAAGACCCTGTCCGGTGTGAAGGGTGCTATATAAATGCAAGTTTTGTGTTGAGAATGCTTTAACGTTTCTGTAAATTCTGCATTTATAGCCGAACACGGCAGTCAATTTGCTTTGATGTGGGTGACCAATTGAATCTGGAAATTGTTTACCAGGACATCAAGCATAATTGCCTTGTCTTTTCAAAATGTGTAATGGGATCTTCAAAGTCTGAATATCCTCTGAGCAGGCAGACAGAGCCTTGGTTTATAATCTCATCTGAAGGACAACACTTCTGACATTACAGCACTCCCCCTACTGCATTGGAATATCATCTTAGACTAAGTGATCAAAGGAACGATGAGTGCTGGACCCACAACCTTTTTACCTAGAAACAAGAGTGCTGCCAACTGAACACCTAAACATTTGCATATGAACCAAAGTTCTACTTATGTACACCGGTTAAATGTAACTTAACATAAGCAGCGTGTGATATTTTGTTTCTTTGGTTGTCTCTAAATTTCTTGTTTTGTTTCCATTGTTCCCAGTTAACCACCTTGAGATTTTTTTTTACATGAATGGCACTACATACATGTAAATTCAAATTGTTGTGAGGAAAAATGCTCAAAAATAAGTTCTGTAAATTGAGGTAATGTATCTCTATTTCAAATACTGCAGACAAAACAAATTCATCTATTTTTACCTGATTTATGTAAGATGAATACTTCTACATAAAACAAAGCACATGTACAGTTCAGGGATGGTTCAGCAGCCAGAAAATAGTTGTAACAGTACCTTTTGAACTGGAATTGCCCTATATTTGCATATCTGCAACATCTAAAATTAACTGCATAAGAAGATAAAGTTTAGGACTATTTGAATTCTTTACGGCCTTATGCCCTGAGGAATAGTGTAAAAGTAGGTAAGTAATGTTAAATTTATATAAAACCTTGGTTAGACAACATTTAGAGTACTATCTGTAGATCTGGTTGCCATAGTACAGGAAGGATATTGCAGCATTGAAGAGAATTAACATTTAAAAGGATGTCACAGGGATGAGTGGTAAACTGGGCCACAAAAATTGGATTGATTCATCTCTGAAGAGATGATTGCGAGGGAATAACTATGTCTATCTGACTTCCTCAACCTCCCCAGCCTATCTCTCAGACTTACAGAAACGGTGAGCATCTTGGCGTCAGGTTTGACCCACACCTGCCCTTACTTAACCACATCTGGTCCCTGGACTGCCTTCTTCCACCTCTGCCACATGGCTCGCCTCTGAACCTGCCTTACCCGAGACTCAGCCAAAACACTCGTCCACGCATTCGTCACCAACTGACTCGACTTTTCAAAAGCTCGCCTCACCAGTCTCCCAAACACCACCATGCACAGAATCCAGCTAATCTAACACTCTGCCACTCACATACGCACGTGCACAATACTACACTCTCTACGCTCATCACACCAGTTCTAGCCAGGCTCCACCGGATCCCTATTGCCAAATGGATTGATTTCAAGATCAACAACAACAAAATTACATTTGTATAGCGCCTTTCACGTCGGGAGGACGTCCCAGGGGGCTAGACAGAGTTTCAGACCCAAACTGGGGGTCGGGATTGGGGAGATTGGAGGGCAGGGAGATCGAAAGCACGGTCAAAGAGGAGGGTCTTGAAATGGGTATTGAAGGAGGCAAGGGAGGGGGTGAGGCGGAGTGACTGCAGGATGGAGTTCCAGTGGGTAAGGGCAGAGTGGTAGAAGGCCCGCCCGCTAATGGTGTGGCGGGCGAGGTGGGGGACGTGAAGCAGGCCCGAGCCTGCTGAGCAGAGGGACCAGACAGGATGATTGGGGGTTAGGAGGTCGCAGAGGTAGGGGGGAGTAAGACCATGGAGGGCTTTGAAGGTGAGGACCAGGATCTTGAACTGGGGTGATAGTGTCACGAAGCCTGGAGGAGGAGAGTACATGGGCTGCACATTTCTGGATGATCTGCAGCCTATGGAGGGAGGAGTTGGGGAGGCCGACAAGCAAGGAGTTTGCATATTCAAGCCTCGATGTAATAAATGCGTGTATGAGGGTTTCGGCGGCCTACAGTGTGAGATAGTGGCGGAGCCGGGTAATGTTGCGGAGGTGGGGGAAGGCAGAGCGGGTCATGGCACGGATGTGGGGTAGAAATTTTGTTGAGGGTCAAACAAGACCCCAAAGTTCCGGACTGGGTTCATAAGGTGGAGTTTGCATCCGTGGATGGTGATGCTGTCAGCGCCTGAGGTGTAGAGGAGCTGACGGGAGCCAATCAGAATGGCCTCGGTCTTGTTGACATTCAACTGAAGAAAGTTTGCTCTCATCCAGGACTTGATGTCTGACAGACATTCTGTTAGGACAGCAGTGGTCCTAGAGTCAAGAGTGGAGGCAGTGATGTAGTTTCAGTGTCATCCGCATACATGTGGAGGTTGACTCCACGTCTGCAGATGATGTCACCCAGAGGAAGCATACAGATGTTCAAGAGGAGGAGACCAAGGACAGAGCCCTGAGGAACGCCACACAAGACTGTACGGGGACTAGTGGGAGAAATCATTTGTGCAGATAAAATGGAGGCGGTGTGAAAGGTACGATCTGAATCAGTCAAGGACAGAGCCGTGAAGGTTGAGGTGAGAGGAGAAGCGGTGGATGAGGATAGAGTGGTCAACGATGGCGAAGGCAGCAGAGAGGTCAAGGAGGACGAGGAGGCAGAGGGAGCCCCGGTTGCAGATGGACAGAATGTCATTTGTCACTTTGACCAGGGTTGTTTCTGTGCTGTGGGCAGCACGGAAACCCGATTGGAGGGGTTCATGAAGCGAGGGGCGGGAGAGGAAGGAGCGAAGCAACAACTCGTTCCAGGACCTTGGAGAAGGGGAGGTTGGAGATGGGGTGGTAGTTTGAGAGCACAGATGTCGGGTGAAGGCCTCACTCGTGTAAGTCACCTCTGTCCCGTTCCAGGCCACTGAAAGCACTGCCTGGCAAGATTTCCCGCTAATACCATCCTACCCGTTATGGCTTTGGTTTACAGGGTTAACCGGAGCTGAGTGGGAAGAGTCCCTGGCCTGGAGTTGAGGCTAGAGGCAGAAGGGTAGAAGTGGGTATCTACTGTGTACATATGAAAGTGAACATTCTTGCCATATCCCTAGATATATAAAAACCTAACCAGGATTCTCTTTTCAAATTTGCAATACACAAGTCGAATATACCATCATATACACAATATGTAGATGACACATCAGGTCAGGCTCAGCAGTGATGGCTTCATGCTTAAATAGAGCATTCACAATTTCGGTCGACTTTTAGAAGCATTGCAACACAAATTGCTGCCTTTTAGAGACACTAGAGTAGTGTAAAAACTGAAGGGAGAAGCAAGTCATGTTTGTTTTCAAGTTTCAATTCAAAATAGTCGATTGCCTAAATAAATAGGGTAAGATAGCAGCCCAAAGTAGAACATTCTCATTTACAATTCTATCCTAAATTTATCATCTAGCTAAAATAATAAAGAACACCTACTTTGATATAGAAAGATACCTGGCAATTTCCTCACTGTGAGCAGTCCAGTCTCTTATATAATCATCCTGCTCCTTCATCTTGTTTTTCAGCAACATGTTGCTTGATACTGCATTAGTGTTCTGCAGCTTGCTGGTCCTCAGTGCTGCAGTGCTGCGCAAGCGAGTATGTTTAGGTGAGCTGCGATTTGACCCAAATTCATCCTCTGAAGTTGAAGCGTATTCAGTAGGGAAGCGTCTCCATCGAGCACCTTGCAAATGAACTGAATGTATGAGCAATAAAGACAATTCCAATATGTTATTGTATAAAATAATTCAGATTTCATCCCTTATGATCAATCACAAAACTCTTCAGTTCCAAAACTTTGAAGAATGAATCCCAGATTACTTATATGTAGACATTTTTCATTTAAATGCAACAAAGACTGATCAAACAGATGGCACAAATAAATAAAATGTACACAAGATAATTTGCCACATACATTTTTCAGTAGAAGTCTTTCAGGGAAAATATGAATCACTTTGAGTTATCATGACATTTTGATGAAACGTTAATTACAATGACAAATAAAAGGACATTATCTCCTCCAATTAAGACTAGATAAGAGTTACGCAGAAAATTTAGGAAAAGTTTACCTGATGGAGGCCCATGTCCTGCTGTTGAAGTTTTGGTTTTAGATGAATCTGGCATTCTTGAAATGCTGTTTGCACGCATCCTGGGAGACGGTTTGTTATCCGATGTGGAAGTGGTCCGCAGGTTACTTCTAAAGGAGGAGTCTGAAGCTCGATTGACATTACTTCTGGTTATTGTTGCTTCAGAGTCACTGCGTGCAGATATAGAGCCCAAACGGTTACGTCGAGGCTGAGCAAGTAGATCTAATCTAGAGGGAGTCTTTCTGCCCGAGGGAGGTTTTGATGTGGTTGAACTGGTAGTAGACACTTCAGAAACCACTGAAACCTTATCTGCATCTGCCAGCTCATTATCAGATGCATCTCCCAGGCGTGCTCTCCGTAAAATGGATGTTCTAGTAGGCCGAGGCTTCGGTAGGTTTGTCGATTTGCCAGTGGAGCTATTAACAGCACTAGTTTTTGTCTTGGATAATTTACTACCTTCCAGTTTGGAATGCAACAGTTCATCAGTGGATGTAAACGATGTTCGCCCTTGTGACCTGCTGGAATAGGTCTCTTGATCTGAAGAAAGAAAATCTGAGATGGTGGATTGAGGTAAACTTGATGTTTGATCATCATCTGTTAAATCAAACGAGGCCTGTCTTGCTCGCCCAGTGGTTTGTAGAGGTCTGCGCGATTCTGATCTAACATTCGCATCTGAAGCACGACTTTTTGTTTTTTTATCTGCAAGTTTGTCTCTTGCATTTGTTGTAGTAATTCTAGACTGATCCTTGGCAGGAGATTTTGTGAAGCTCTTTTCCTTGTGGAGGCTACTCAGAGTTCTCCGTTTCTGAATAGACTTCTTTTCTGCATCTCCACTAACTAAACTGATGGTGCTCGCTGTATCAATATCTGATTCAGGAGAAATGGAATCATCCACATGGTAGCTTGGGGTATCGGCTCCTCCGTCCAGTTTGTTTTCTTCTCTTAGCTTTGCTTCTAAAAATGCCATCACTGCTTCAGTGTCCTTCAGCAAAACAGTTGTGTCCATGCTGGAATCTGTGCCAATGGAGTTACTTCTCTCTCTACCAGTTGCAGAAGTAGCACCTGGTGACCCACCCTCCCTAGTGATGCGAGGGATAAGTTCTAAGGGTACATTGCTACTCGGTTTTTCTATGGTGAAGCTTCCCTGCCTGACCAAAGGCCTTTGAGAATCCTTTTTCTCAGTATTCCCTCCTTTAGAAGAGGGACTTCTAGAAATCTCCTCAGATTTTCTTCTCTTCTCTTCAGTATGAGCCTCTACTTTGTCCAAAATGCTTGCAGCAGCTTGTCTGGATTCCTGCAGGTCACCAGCTTTCTGTGAAGCAGAAACCACTCGTCTTGGCGAAACCTCTCTGCCTTTGTCAGTGTGGTTCGTACTGCTAGCCAAGGGCTTACCAGCAGATGTTTTCGCAAAGGTCCGCTGAGGTGGACTCTCTCTGTGTACCTGTTGTTGACTTTTAGGTGAAGGTTGCCTTACTGCTGATATACCCTTGACAGCATCAACCTTCTCTTTAATAGGCTGAGGGTGGTTAGTTGATGCGCCAGGCACATTCCCACCACTGCCAGCTTTAAGAGACGAGCTGTTTTTAGCAATGCCTCGAGTAATTTCCTTTTGTCGGTCTTTAGGGTGAGGAGGAGTTGGGGTTCCTTTTCAGGAAGCTCAGTGTCCTGCTTTTCACCTATTTCAGGTCTTGTTTTGGTCAAATTTAAACTAACAGGAGCTTTTGACTTCTGGCTTTCAGAAGTTTTATCCTCTGTTGGAAGCTGTGGAAGTGTTCTTCTCTTTCTATCACTCATACTGGCTGACGTGGTGTCGGATGTGGATGCACTTTTTGCTGAGACACCAGATTCACTGATGTCTGTTTCTAACAAAGCAAAGCACATTTTAGATGCAATTTGAAAGGAAAGGAGGCAGAGGAGAGAAAGCATTTTCAAGGCAGCATTCTCTATATCAAGTAATCTTAAAATAAAAAAAATCTTCTCTGGAAGGAGATATTTTCACTTCAAGTTGTTGCGTTTCTTCTCTCCCTCCCCCATGGAGAACTACAATTTTATGACTGTCCTTTCAGTTTACAGCCAATGTGTACTGGGTGTTGTGTGATATTATCAGAACTTGGAAAATTCCCTAGCAACCAAAAACCTTACTTTTAAAAATTAATCAATGGAATGATTAATATAGCCAACGCTATATTTTAAACAAAGGTTACTTTGTTGACTTTTTTTGCTGTCAAACAAATGCAATTAATTAATATTCTAATGCTCAGTATTTGTTTTATGAAGTCTTAAATATTACTTGCAGCAATTTGCAACATTTCAAAAATCTGATTTTATTCAAAAAATGAGTTGTGCGCACCTTGTAAAACTATAACAGAATCATGCTTTACTAGAAGCTCATTTTCAGTAAAAAAAAATCTCCTTCAAGTTAAACTCCATACACATTTTCTCAGACAAGAGGCAGCCTGCTCTAGGTCTTATTTGATGATAGCTGGCCATCAATTCATGCACAATCAATAAAAACAAGACCAATTATACATCCACCAACTTCTCCTCCTAACCTTTCAATGTACAATGAAAATGGGAACTTCCAGAAGCACAGAAGCAAACCTGTACTGTATCACTCTGCAACACTGCATGAGACTAACATTATACCGACTGCATAACCTTTAATATTCACCACATAAGCTCATTATTGCATCTAGTTTAAAGGATATTACCGTAGGCAGATGAAAAAGGAATGCGAGGCCAGACCTCACCTCGATCATGAACTCCAATTGCCGGCGAGTTTGGCCTCTGGTCATTAGGGTCAGCACCTTTGTGATTAGCAGCTAAACCTGTCCACTGGGACACCCATTGGGGACTGGTACATGTAAAGGAGCCTTCAAGGGCAGTCTGTAAGGGGAGAAAAAAAAGCAATCAGTATGTTAAACCCTTATGAGTACTGAATCCTTACAGTTGATCAATTTTCCACTGCAAAGATCTGCAACACACTGTCTGCAAATTTCTAATCAAGGTTCAAGAGACAAATTCATACAACTATATACACTAGGAAGTCCAAGGTGATTCCTCATATACGTAATATTCCAGTATTTAAGGTCTTTTGTAAAAGTATGGTTCTTTGCATCTTAATTTGTCAATTGTGTTGAGTGGAAAGGGAAATACTATATTTTCAACACCTATTTCATTGATGCACAAATATCCATCTTCACACATATATACACTATATGCACACACAACTTAAAAAAAATCAAAGGGAAGGAACTCAAAATGTATCCCCTTCAAAAAGAATCAGACTTTCCAGATTAAGTCAATGTATTCAACATTTATAATAATCCTTGCATTCAATATAGCGGCTTTTCACTGTGTTGAAAAACCTCAAAGAGGTTCACAGGATCTTACTGTAAAGTGTAGAGATTATTTGTAGTCAAATGGGGCAGCATGGGCCCACACACAGCCTTGAGGTGAACAACCAATTTTATGCTGGAGGATTATTGGCCAGGATACCAGGAGAAACTCACTTCTCTTTTCGAATAATGCTATGGAATCTTTAAAGTCCACCTGAACAGACAGACTTGGTCAATGTCACATCCAAGAACTGACACCTCTGACAATGCAGCTCTCCCTGAGTTTCTGCCGAAACTACAAGCTCAATGTTCCAATATTGGACTTGAACCTACAACCTTCTGACTCAGAGGCAAGAGTGCCTCCAACTGAGTCTCGCTGAGACTGTTTAGTTGAAGGTCATCATTTGGGATTCCACCTCTGATTTAATAGGCTTCAATAATAACTTCAATAAGCTTGTGCTGCATCTGTCTGCAATCATGCTGCTTGTGAATTAATACAAACTACCCAGCCAGTGTGTTCTGGTCTGTTGGAGTAAAACATCAAAAATGAATCTTTCATGTCCAGATTTCGATTATTGAGCCTTGATTTATGGATCTTTGATGTGCACAAAATGGCTGCTGCATTTGCTCCCACACAAAAAAAAACAATTCACAGTGGTAGTGAAGCACTTTGAAGTGTTTCAACATTACAGGCAATATAAACATGCAAATTTCATTCATTCATATGAAAGCAGGAGCAGAGAATATAAATCAACTTTTATTATGTGTCCCAGTTTCATGTTGCAATCCAGAAAGTTGCCGAGAGTGAAAAAAAAGAACTTTTATTCTGACAAGATTATCTTTCACACTGATCCCAATCAACAATTTTGTTTCCTCCGCTCCTTCAAAACATTAAGATGTCTAAGAAACAAAATAACTTGTTTGTCTTTTCTCAAAACCACAGAGATTGCTGCTCTGCAAATTAGTAATTATCATTAGCTTTCAGTTCCTATGAAGGAAATGATCGTGTATCATGTTGTAATATGAAATAGTAATTTGATAGCAGCCATGAGAAACTAAATTAAATATTCCTTAATGGAACCTGAAAACAATTGTTCATTTGTGATGACAGCTGCTGTCTAATGAGAATTGATTAGGTTTGCCTTTGGTAATGGGCCTCTCTAATAACCAAAGCACAATTCACCTAAACTAAGAGCAGATCCACAGTAGAGATAAAATGCCAAACTCTTCACAAATGCAGCAGAAATACCTCAGACTGAATAATCATTACTCCTGGTGCAAACAATGAATGAGATGTTATTCAGGGAAGCACAGCCTACTCTATATATATCAGGGAAACACAGGCCACTCGTCGTTCTGCTCCAACCTTGGAGGCTAAGGACAACCCCAAGTTCCTCGTCTCCATCACGTGCTAGCTCCCACCCTCTCACACCTCGCCCATGCTCATCTCAAATGCCAACTGCGAGGTGATGCTGGACTTCCTCGAATCCAAAATCGAGGGAATCCACTCAGCTGCCTCTGCCACGACATCTACCCTCTCCCCATCTCCTCCTCCCACCCCGGCCCTACCCATCCCTCCCTTCACACCTTTGAACCTGTATCCCTTCTCATCACCACCATAACCCATATGAAACCTACCATCTGCTCCGTAGCACGAACCCTACCCCTCTCCTTACCTCCCAGCTCCACCTCCTTGCCCTCTACTCACTGACATCTTAAACCTCTCCCTGTCCTCTGGTACTGTTCCCACCCCATTAAAAACCACTGTCATCACTCCAATCCTTAAAAAAACCCTCCCTGGATCCCTCTCTACTCCCTAACTACTCCCCATCTCCATTGGCTTCCCATCACACAGAGGATACAGTTCAAGATCCTGGTCCTCACCTTCAAAGCCCTGCATGGTCTTGCTTCCCCCTACCTTTTCGACCTCCTAAACCCCTACCATCCTATTTGCTCCCTCTGCTCAGCAGGCTCCAGCCTGCTTCATGCCCCCCGCCTTGCTTGCCGCACTATTGGTGGGCGAGCCTTCCGCCACTTTGCCCCCACCCTCTGGAACTCCATCCCGCAGTCCCTCCACCTCGCCCCCTCCCTTGCCACCTTCAAGACCCATCTCAAGACCCTCCTCTTCAACGGTGCTTTCGATCTCCCTGCTTCCCCCCCTGACCTCCACCCTCCTCCATCCCGACCCCCAGCTCGGGTCCGTAACTCTGTCTGTCCAGCATCTTTGGACGTCCTCTTGACGTGAAAGGCACTTTACAAATGTAATTTTGTTGTTGTTGTATACGTCCTATAGGCTAAATAGCTATTCTACCACTGCTAAGTTGAATAAAGCACACTTATAATTTACAGAATGTTATCAAAATTAGACTAAAGAGATTAGTGGATATAAAAAGAAGTGTGTAATAGGTCCTTCAAATGTTGAAGGGAACAGGTAACTTACAATGATATGGAATATCATTTAACTCAAGCTGTGAAAGCAGCGCAAGAAGAGTAGTGTTGATTAATTAATGTGTTCTAGAATTAATCATACACTCAATCTAATTAGGAATTTTCTCTACTGATTTAATATGCAATGAAAACAGCTCATTTTAAAAAAATTTCTTCAGTGTCAATAGAGGATTTTGGGAGTTGTATAATTTACATGTTTGTTTGTACACCATGGAGTTAGGATCCAAAAATAGTTTGGAAAAGTGTACACCGTAATTATGGCAACAAGAACAAGTTCATATACTATTAAATCTCAGCGTTAATCAAACACATATTTAACTATTATCATACAGTATTCTCCTTGTACTGTCTCTATTAAACACAAATGCACTTCCTGCCTCCACTTACTTTGAGTATTAGCCCTAAAATAAATGAATAAACTATTGATCAGTAACCAATAATAGGTTCCTTGTAAAGACGTGGACTATAATTAAATTGGAAGTGAAATACTCTGGTGACTGCTTCCCCTCATTTTTATGGACAAATCAACCATCCCTGCAGAGCTGCCATACAAATGTATTTAATGTGTTTGCCCTATTGAACTGAAGTGCAGCAGAAACATGTAACTGACCATTAACTGATCTATTAGCCACTGTCCATTCATTAGGAAATGAAGTTAAGCTAATCTACTTGAACTGTACCCGATATAAAAGTGTCTTAATGGAACAATTTGCCTTATTCAACAATTTTGATTACACCAACACACTTAAAAGTATAAATACTGACTTCCAGCTGGCAGTAATTTGTCCTGTGTGCTCAAGAACTTGGTCATTAACCCAGCTGTAACAGCAGATTTCCATTTAGTGAAGAGAATACATTTCCACTGAGCACCATAGAGCTAAATTTATCACATGCCCTCCTCTCCTGGAAAGCAGATCTACAATGAGGTATAATTACGCAGCCAATTTCTCATTTCTGTTGCTGTTCTCGACCTGTGAACAATTCACTGAAACTTTGCACATTCCAAATGAAGTTATCAGACAGCAATGAGAACAGAGACCAATTGTAGGGCCAACTCCTGTTTCACTGGCAAAAATCAGCAAACTCAGAATAAGCAATGAACTTTTTTTCCTGGTCCTTTGACTCAGTATCAAAGTGAGAGTAGCAATTGGCGCATAGTTCTCGATCAAAACTTTAAAAAATTTAAAGCTCCAATGAAGTACTCCTGCCATTCAGGAGGAAGTGGCAGGAAAGAGCTTTCATTTTCCCTCATATGCGACAGTCTCACTGTTAAGTAAGCCCACTGTAGGTGTTCTGAACTATCGAGTGTGAGAAACTCAAACCTGTGGGTAAGACATTAGAATTGTCAAGAAATGTGTGCTCATCCAATTCTATTTTTCATCTTAAAGCTCACAGTGCCCTCTGTTGGAATAGACTAACAAACTGAAAATCCAAACAAATTGAGAATTTACAATCTGGTAATTGCGGCTTCTAGGTAGATATGCTAATGTGGCACATGATCCAAAATTAAATTCAAGAAAATGTCCACAAGAGGTCATCAAATGTACTATACTAAAGAGCCATTATCAGAAAACAGTCAATTTAAGAAAGACGTTCTCTTCCCCAGGTTCAATTAACAAAACATGGATGACCTGCGGTTCATCAAGTCATTCATTATCTAACTACAGATACTAACAGACTAGAAGGGCAGACCAGTCACTGGGGGCGATAACGCTTCCCACTCAGCTCCTGTTAACCCTACAAGTCAAAGCCCCAATGGGTAGGTTAGCCCTAGCCAGGCAAGCAGAGGAAAGCTTGTCAGACTGTGCTTTCAATGGCAAGCTGTGCAGATTTAGCTGGTTAAACTCCAGCACACACTCTGGCGTCCCGAAACATTGGCTCTTTTCAACCTACACCTAATACTCTCTGGAATTAAGTAAGCAGGATGTGTCCTTCAAAGGAGATGCTACACATTCCATTCCAATAAATATATCTGGCATTTGCACATGTAGAATATATAGATGCATGGAATCCTTAGTTTGGTTTGGACACTCTTAAGCACGGTGATGGGTTTCCACGTGTCAGACATCTGGCTGACAAAAAAAATACAATACCAATAGT